CCCCCTCCTGCTAGTTTCCTCTGGTATTAACATCTTGCGTTGGTATGATACATTTATTACAACTGATGTATCAGTGGAGGAGTGTTACATTATTACTAACTAAAGTCCATACTGTACATGATGGTTAGGTCTGTGTTGTACAGTTCTACAGGTTTTGACAAATGCATAATGTCATGTATCTACCAATATCATACAGCATAGTTCACTGCCCTGCAAATCTCCCTGGGCTCCACCTATTCTTCCCTTCCCCTTTCCTTCTCTCAGCCCCTGGAAACCACTGATCTTTTCACTATTTCTGTAGTTTTGACTTTTCCAGAATGTCACATGGAATCATACAGTATGTAGACTTTTCAGACTGACTTTTTTCACTTAGCAATATGCATTTAAGGTTCCTCTGTGTCTTTTGTGACTTGAGAACTCATTTCTTTTTATCACTGAAATATGTACCACAGTTGTGTATTCATTCATTTGTTGAAGGACATCTTGGTTGCTTCCAAATCTTGGCAATTATGAATAAAGCTGTTATAAATATTTGTTAGCAGGTTTTGTGTGGACATCTTTTTAAAAAGATACATTTTATTAGATTAGGAGAGTTCCCTTTTACTCCTAGTTTACTGAGATTTTTTGTCATGAATGGATATTGGACTTTATCAACTGTTTTTTTTTCCTGCACTATTGAGATAATCATATAACTTTTATCCTTTATTCTGTAAACGTGGTGAAGTACATTGACTGATTCCTTAAAAAATGTTCATAACAGCCATTGATTGATTTTTGAATGTTAAGCTGCCCTTCCATTCCTGAAGTAAATCTCAATTGGTCGCATTGTATTTTCTTTTAAATATATTGCAGGATTTGCTTTGTTACTATTTTGTTTAGAATTCTTTGTATCTATGTTCATGAATAAAATTGCCTTTTAATTTTTTTTCTTTTCTATAATGTTCTTCCTAGGTTTTGGTTTCATGGTTTTTCTAGTCTCATACAATGAGTTGGGAATCGTTCTCTCTTTTCCTTCTCTCTGGATGATATTGTATAGGATTGACATTATTTCTTAAATTTGTGGAATAATTCAACAGTAAAGCCTTCCAGACCTGAAAATTTCCTTATAGGTAGATCTACAGTTCTAGAATATTGATTTGGTTCTCTTTTCCAATTTATAGTTCTCTACCACAATTCTCAGTTTAAAATAATTTCCTTAAACATATTTAGAATAGTTAAAGTCTGATAACTATTATCTGGATCTTCTGTGATTCTGTTTCTGTTATCTGTTGTTTATTTTGGTTTTTAATCATGTTGCTTTGTCTTTTCATGTGCTGGTTATTTTCTTTCATTTGCAGAACATTGTGTATTAAAAATTGTGGAAATATTTTGAGACACAGGATGATGTTATCTTCCTCTAGAGAAGAATTTCACTTGCTTGTATAATTTGAAGCAGGATTCAGTCCATGCAAGTACTGGACTATTTCTTGTTTATTCTAGTTCATAAGGTACAGACCTATGAGGTCCAAACCCAAAGGACTAGAGGTTTAGTAAGTCTTCCTCTTCTTGGAAAATCGTCAACTCAAACTGTTGTCACTCTAGCCCTCAGAACTGTTGGAAAGCCCTTCTCTTTAAGGTTAAGGGATGAGCGAGTTGCTATGGTATATCCTTATCAAAAAGTAGCGTGAAGGATCCTTATGGTGATGGATCTGTTCTGTATCTTGAGTGGGGTGGTAGGTACATGAATTTACACGTGATAAAATAGCATAGAACTAAATACATGCGCATACACACACACAAATGAATGCATGTTAAACTAGAATAAGGTTGGTGGATTGCATCAATGTAAATTTCCCAGTTGTGATATTGTATTGTAATGATGCAAGACGTTCCCACTGGCAAGAGAGGATGACGAATACATGGGATTCGTCCATATTATTTCTTTTTTTATGGTGTAAAAATTATATATATAACATTAAATTTACCATTTTAACCATTTTAGGTGTGCAATTCAGTGGCATTACGTAAATTCACAATGTTGTGCAACATCACGAATATCCATTTCCAGCACATTTTCATCATCTCAAACAGAAACTCTGTACCCATTAAACAATAATTCCCTGTTCCCCCCGCCTCCAGTCTCTGGTAACCTCTATTCTACTTTCTGTTTCTATGAATTTGCCTATTTTAGGTACTTCATATAAGTGGGATCATACAATACTTGTCCTTTTGTGTCTGTCTTATTTCACTTAGTGTAATGTTTTCAAGGTTCATCTATGTTGTAGCATGTATCAGAATTTCATTCCTTTTTAAGGTTAGATAATATTCAATTGTATACACAAACACACATGCACTATATTTGTTTATTCATCTGTTGATGGATACTTGGGTTGTTTCCATCTTTTGGGTATTAAGAATAATGCTGCTATGAACATTGGCATACAAATATCCAAGTTCTTTTTTTTAGTTCTTTTAGGTATATATTTTAGAAGTGGAATTGCTAGATTGTATAATTCTATGTTTAACTTTTTGAGGAACTGCCAAGCTATTTTTCCACAGTGGCCACAGATTTTTCATTACCATCAGCAATGCGCAAGAGTTCTAGTTGTTCACATTTTTACCAACATTTATTATTTTCTGGGTTAAAAAAAAAATAACCATCCTAATGGGTGTGAAGTGATATCTCATTGTGGTTTTGATTTGCATTTTCCTAATGACTCATAATGTTGAGCATATGTTTAAATAGGTAGGAGAAAATTTGCCCCCGTATCCAGTTGGTTTCTGTGGGTTTCTGTTTCATCCCAAACCTGGCCCCTTTGTTCTTCACTGTCTTTTTAGGTCACCAGTCCTTCAGGCAGCTGTTTTAAACATTTTGTCCATCATTTCTAGTTGTTTTCAATGGGGTAGTTGATCCATATGATGTAATCTACTATTATTTGAAGTGTCTTTTGGTTTTGCAAGAGAAAACAATTGTAAATATAATTAAAGTCATTTTTTTTTTTTTTTTTTTGAGACGGAGTCTGGCTCTGTTGCCCAGGCTGGAGTGCAGTGGCCAGATCTCAGCTCACTGCAAGCCCCACCTCCCGGGTTCACGCCATTCTCCTGCCTCAGCCTCCCGAGTAGCTGGGACTACAGGCACCCGCCACCTCGCCCGGCTAATTTTTTTTTTGTATTTTAGTAGAGACGGGGTTTCACCGTGTTAGCCAGGATGGTCTCGATCTCCTGACCTCGTGATCCGCCCGTCTCGGCCTCCCAAAGTGCTGGGATTACAGGCTTGAGCCACCGCGCCCGGCCTTAAAGTCATTTTTTAAAACCTAGTAACTTCTGAAGCCATGGTGACCTTTTAGAAAAAAAGCTAATAACTCTTTATGAATCTTAAGAATAGCACTAAATCTTTACTCACTAAAAATATTTCTGCAGGCTACAGAGATCATATAGACTAGGTATATGGGAGGAAATGATGCAGTTTGTTCTCCATCCTACAGTATTTCAGGAGAGGAAAATGGGCTTAAAGCACTTACTGTCAGGAAAAACACACTTACTTTATTTGGGTCTCCTGCTTAAACATCATTTCTACAGAGAAGCTGTGTTGGGAGTTCCCAGGATCACCCCTAGGTTTGATGATTCATTAGGAGGATTCATAAGACTCAATATAGGTTGGGCGAGGTAGCTCATGGCTGTAATTCCAGCACTTTGGGAGCCCAAGGCAGGAGGACTGCTTGAGCCCAGGAGTTCGAGACAAGCCTGGGCAACATAGGTCCCATCTTTATTAAAATTTTTCAAAAAGACTCTATATAGTGATGACTATCATGTAATCATGACTCATGATTACAGTAAAAGGATCAAAACAAAATCAGCAAAAGAAAAAGGCGCATGAGATGCAGTCTAGAGGAAACCAGGTACATGCTTCCAAGAGTCCTCTCCCAGTAGAGTCACAATGGACACGCTTAATTCCTCCAGGAACTAGTGACAACATGTGTAAAATGTTGTCTGCCAAAGAAACCCACCCAAGCCTGCTTGTCCAGGGTTTTTATTGGGGATGAGTGATATAAGCATAAAACCCCTACATGATGACACTCAGTTACTGATGTTCCAGATGCTCAAGGGAATGGAGGTGTTCATTATAAATCACATTGTTAGCATAAACTGTCTGGACAAACTACTGCAGAGTCACTTAAGGACTGGCACATGCAAGAACACTCTTATCAGGCAGAACATCCCAAGAACTCAGTTCCCAGTAACCAGCCCAAGGTCAGTCATGAAAACAAGTCATTCTTGAAATAGTGCAGGGTCTGAGCAACCCAGGCCTGCAAAGTTGATCCTTTTCCACACAGAGGTCTACCTGATCAAATCTGAAGAAGGAAAGCACCCCTTGTTACTCTCTAGTTTCTTACTCTTTGTTATATAATCATTTGTTTATTTGATGCTAATTAAATAACACTTTTTTTTTTCTTTTTTTTGAAATGGAGTTTCACTCTTGTTGCCCAGGCTGGAGTGCAATGGCACGATCTCGGCTCACTGCAACCTCTGCCTTCCAGGTTCAAGCGATTCTCCTGCCCCAGCCTCCTGAGTAACTGGGATTAGAGGCATGCGCCACCATGCCCAGCTAATTTTTGTATTTTTAGTAGAGACAGGGTTTCTCCATGTTGGTCAGGCTGGTCTTGAACTCCAGACCTCAGGTGATCCACCTGCCTCGGCCTCCCAAAGTGCTGGGATTACAGGCAGGAGCCACCGTACCTGGCCACAAATATTTTCTAATTTTTAAATTTCTTTATTATTCCTCCACTAGAATATAAATTATATGAAGTCAAAGTCTTTGCTTTATTCATGACTGTATCTCCAGTGTCTAAAACTGCTTGGGCTATAGTAGGTACTCAACAAATATTAAGTAGATGAATGAATGGAAATTATCATTTATTTAAATATTTAGGAATGCCAATGATGTTGACTGGATCTAAATTATTGGGACATACTGTTACCATATGAATGACAATTTTCATCTCTTTCTTCTTCCCAAACAGGTCTATAATTCAGCAGGCAGATCTTTCCCTCGAAGATTTGTTTTGCCTTTAAATGTCAGTTTGAATGCCCCTGAGGGAGACAACCTGAGTCCATTGTCCTATACTTCAGCCAGTGCTGTGAAACAGGCTGATGGAACGGTATGCTATGAACATTAGAGTAAGACTTTGAGCGTTAGTGGTGTTACTTTATTCCTTAGCTGTTTTCCAAAATGTTTGGTACCCAATAACTTTTATAACATTCATCCGAGCAGGGTAAGGTCATGTAACACTGCTTGCACAAGAATTGCAGAAACAGTGGGAATGAACACAGTGTTTATCTCCCTTCCTGTGCTTTGAAACAAGAGATATGGAACTGTCTAATGGTTGTGATGTCTATTCATTTGAGCTTGACATTAGCAATCCCACATTTTGTTTTTTATTATTTTATTTTTTGAGATGGAGTCTCGCTCTGTCGCCCCAGGCTGGAGTGCAGTGGTGCCATCTCAGCTCACTGCAGCCTCTGCCTCCTGGGTTCAAGCAATTCCCCCGCCTCAGCCTCCCGATAGCTGGGATTACAGGCACCTGTCATCACGCCTGGCTAATTTATTGGATTTTTAGCTAAGATGGGTTTTGCCATGTTGGCCAGGCGGTCTTGAACTCCTGACCTCAGGTAATCCGCCTGCCTCAGCCTCCCAAAGTGCTGGGATTACAGGCTCGAGCCACCGCGTTCCAGCTGCAATCCCTACCTTTTAGATAATAGTGCTTAGCACAGGTCTATCTTGTGTAGCTGTCAATGCCTTAGCTTAGAAAATAAAAAGCATATGTCTACCTCCTATGTCATTTGACAGCTTATATAAAAATTTGATAATCATTATGCATCCATACATTATGAGAAAGTGGAACAATATTAAAAATGCAGCCGGGCGCGGTGGCTCAAGGCTGTAATCCCAGCACTTTGGGAGGCAGAGACGGGCGGATCACGAGTCAGGAGATCGAGACCATCCTGGCTAACACGAAACCCCGTCTCCACTAAAAAATACAAAAAACAGCCGGGCGAGGTGGTGCCTGTAGTCCCAGCTACCGGGAGGTTGAGGCAGGAGAATGGTGAAACCCGGGAGCGGAGCTTGCAGTGAGCTGGAGTCCGGCCACTGCACTCCAGCCTGGGCGACAGAGTGAGACTCCGTCTCAAAAAAAAAAAAAAAAAAAAAATGACGTAGAACCTCAGTTCCCACGCCCTGTCACAAACTTTTATAAGTATGAGGCTCCTCACTGACATACATAAGAGGAAAATAAGAATTAAGCAACCACTACAAATCCTTTTGAAATCTCTTTTAGATCTGGTGCTCTCATGAAAATCTACATCAGGAGGACCTAGAAAAGGAAGGAGGCATTGAATTTCCTCAGATCTACTATGGTCAATTCAGTGGCAAAAAGTATCGTTTCTTTTATGGCTGTGGCTTTCGGCATTTGGTGGGGGATTCTCTGATCAAGGTTGATGTGGTGAATAAGACACTGAAGGTGATGAAAAACTCTTTCCTTTTTGAACTTTTCAGAAACCTGTTCTTCCCTTTGAATTAGTTCTATTTAAAGTAGCTCTTAAGATTCTTCAGTATTTAAGGAGCTCAGCCATTTTCTTTTATTGAGTTTGAGAACTATGAAATCATCTAAGTTAGGGGTATGTTCCTTCTAGGGAATCCAAATTGACCCCAAGCCCAGCAAAAATAATTCTATGTTTGATCTTGATGTTATTTTGGGGGCAATTGTGGGATTAGGGTTGTTGGGACACCTATATTTAAAGTAGATAGCAAATTATAGTTACACAAATTGTGTTTGATGGTGATGGAATCTGGGACTGCAAAGACTCCCTCTCTTTCTCCTATATTCAACTCAGTAGGGCTGATTCTTTTATTTTTGGATTATTCTATTGACAGCCTGTGTTAGTCTGTTCTGTGTTATAAAGAAATCCCCGAGGCTGGATAATTTATAAATAAAAGAGGTTTAGGTCGGGTGCGGGGGCTCACGCCTGAAATCTCAGCACTTTGGGAAGCTGAGGAGGGGTGGATCACAAGGTCAGGAGATCAAGACCATCCTGGCCAACATGGTGAAACCCTGTCTTTACTAAAAATACAAAAATTAGCTGGGCGTGGTGGCACATGCCTGTAATCCCAGCTAATAGGGAGGCTGAGGCAGGAGAATCGCTTGAATCTGGGAGGCAGAGGTTGCAGTAAGCTGAAATTGTGCCACTGCACTCCAGCCTGGCGACAGTGCAAGACTCCGTCTCAAAAAAAAAAAAAAAGAAAAGAAAAAGAAAAAGAAAAAGAGGCTTATTTGGCTCATCGTTCTGTGGGATGTACCAGCATGGCACCAGCATGTGCTCAGCTTCTGATGAGGCCTCAGAAAGCTTACAATCATGGCAGAAGGCAAAGGCAAAGGGGCAGCCTCATGTCACATGGTGAGAGAGTGGGAGCAAGAGAGATAGGAGGAAGGGCCAGCCTCCTTTAAAACAACTACCTCTCAGATGAACTAATAGAGCCAGAGCTCACTTATCACCAAGAGGATGGTGCTAAGCTATTCATGAGGGACTGGCCCCCATCACCCAGCACTTCCCACTAGGCCCCACCTTCAGCACTGGGCTCAGCACTTCAGCATGAGCTTTGGAGGGGACACACATCCAAACTATATCACAGCCAAATCCATGCTTGAAGTGACAAAAGCCATAGAAAGCTCCCAGCTTACTACCGGCCTTTTATCGAATGCTTTTTTTGGGACTTGCAGGTTTGGAGAGAAGATGGCTTTTATCCCTCAGAACCTGTTTTTGTTCCAGTACCAGGAACCAATGAAGAAGATGGTGGGGTTATTCTTTCTGTGGTGATCACTCCCAACCAGGTAAATATATTTCCCTATCACTAGTCAGAAAGAAAAGTAGCACTGAGTCATCTGATAAGTCAAGGATGCACACTCATCTGTCGATAGTTTACTTTGATTCCTTTTCCCTTCTCTTCCCCTTCTTACTATTTACATACCCTTTTGTCTCAATCCATATTTTGTTGTTTTAAAGTTCTGTTTGGAAGACCATAATAACAATTTGTATTTGCATAGGAATTTGTTATTTACGAACTACTTACACATATTCAGTTATCAAAACAACTTTGTGGGATACCATTTTATACATGTGGAATTTGTAAAGTAAAGAAGTTGAAGTAAACTTGCATCAGATCTTATAGTGGTAAAGCCAGTATTTAAATCCAAGTCTTTTGACTTCTGGTCTAATGTTTATACCATCATGTGTGCTGCCAACTTCAATGAACTGACCTCCAAGTCCAATGTCATCAGTCCTGGTCCAGTGTCTCAATAACACTATTCACTATCTGACTCCTTGTCTAGGGCAATCTTATGGTAAATGGGTTCACTTTGAGTATCAGCTTTGATTAATTATTAGTGGCTGCCTGGGGTGCAGGGCTCTGAGGCCTTTTAAGGGTTCAGTAAGAAAGGCTGTGATCAATTAGCGATACCTGTTATGGGCTTTAGGAGGACTTTGTTCTCATGCCATGCACTTGCCATTCCTGGAATTCGATTTGGCAGATCTCAGTCTGCCTTGCAATGCTGCCCTTTGAACAGCTACAAAGTAACACAAAATGGAGGCATTTCTAACTTGGAAGAAAGAGTTTCTGTCTTTTAAAAGATTGGCAAGGTGCAAGCAAAAATATTAAACTCAAAGAAATCCTATGAAGGTGATTGATAGAAACAACTTAATTTATTTGTTCTAGGTATGAACTTCTTTAGCTATGATATCCTTTCCAGTCCAGTTCAGCAACTGAGGAAACAATTTGTGAGCATATAGGTGAGGCACTGTGCTAGGTTCTGGGGAGAGATATGAAGATGTGTAAGACATGGTCTTGCTCTTTCTCTCTCTCTCTTTCTCTTCCTTTTATTTTAAAGACAGGGTCTTGCTCTGTCACCTAGGCTGGAGTGCAGTGGCACAATCTCAGCCCACTGCAACCTCTGCCTCCCAGGCTCAAGTGATCCTCCTGCATCAGCCTCTGAGTAGCTGGGACTACAGGTGTGCACCACCACACCTGGCTAATTTTTGTATTTTTTATAGAGATGGGGTTTTGCCATGTTGCCGAGGCTGGTCTTCAATGATGAGCTCAAGCAATCCACCCACCTCAGCCTCTCAAAGTGCTGGGATTACAGGTGTGAGCCACTGTGCCCGACCAACATGGTCTCTCCATTAGGAATTTTACAGCTTAGTGGAGGAGACAGGCAAATTTTTGATGAAGAAAAGATAATTTTCAATATTGTCTTTCCTTTTCTAGAATGAAAGCAATTTTCTCCTAGTTTTGGATGCCAAGAACTTTGAAGAGTTGGGCCGAGCAGAGGTACCTGTGCAGATGCCTTATGGATTCCATGGTACCTTCATACCCATCTGATGGGACAACCACAGGGTCTGGAAACTAGGTTTAAAATAAGTGTGCACTTGGACATAAAGACTAGAGCAATAGACACTGAGGACACCAAAAGGGGGGCAAGGAGGAAGAGGGGCAGGGGTTAAAAAGCTACCGATTGAATACTATGTTTCCTATTTGGGTGATGGGATCATTAGAAGCCCAAACCTCAGCATCACACAATATACTCATGTAACAAGTCTGCACATGTACCCCAGAATCTAACATAAAAATAAAAAGAAAAACAAAGAATGTACTGTATAGAAAAGACAGAGCATAAAAGGCACCGTACCTCCCAAACCAATGTCCCAAATAGACATTTGGTTTAAAAATTTCTGTTAAAACCATAATTCACTATTTCCTTGCCACTGCCAAGTCACACCATGGCAGAGGCTCGAGTGCATATGAGGTTCTGTTTTACCTTTAATACACCATCATGGCCAACGGAGGCATTGCTGCTGGAGGTGTCATGGCCATTAACACTACTTTATGAGAGGTGCGGAAGACTGCCCTCACCCATGATGGCCTAGCGTGTGCAATTTGTGAAGCTGCCAAAGCCTTAGACAAGCGCCAAGCCCACCTTTGTCTGCCTGCATCCAAATGCAGTGAGCCTATGTATGTCAAGTTGGTGGAGGCCCATGGTGCTGAACACCAACTCACCCTAATTAAGATTGATGACAACGAGAAACCAGGGGAATGGGTAGGCCTCTGTAAAACTGAGAGGGAAACCCCCGAAAACTAGTTGGCTGCAGTTGTGCAGTAGTTAAGGACTATGTCAAAGAATCTTAAGCCAAGGATGTCATTGAAGAATATTTCAAATGTAAGAATGAACAAATAAAACTTTGGCACTCATGTTTCTTTCTTTCTTTGTTTTTGAGATGGAGTCTCGCTCTGTCACCCAGGCTGCAGTGCAGTGGTGTGATCTTGGCTCACTGCAAGCTCCACCTCCCAGGTTCACGCCATCCTCCTGCCTCAGCCTCCCGAGTAGCTGGGACTACAGGCGCACGCCACCCTGCCCGGCTAATTTTTTTGTATTTTTAGTAGAGATGGGGTTTCACCGTGTTCGCCAGGATCATCTCAATCTCCTAACCTTGTGATCCGCCTGCCTCGGCCTCCCAAAGTGCTGGGATTGCAGGCATGAGCCACCGCACCCAGCTGGCACTCATGTTTCTTAAGAAAAAACACCACAAAGCAGAATTCATAAGATAACTATGGTTTTATGTATATATTTTAGGGCTCTTCCTTGAAATAATTAAGAAAGTATTGATACAACCTTTTGAAGAGAGTTTTAAATTTCATTTATTGGATATATTTTCCTCTACGTAATAATAAGAATACATGAAAGAAAAATTCATGCATTTTGGTCATTACCGAAAGAATTAAAGAAAGATGAAAGAAACATGAAAAGTGACTTGCCAGATACGACAGGTTTATTTTAGAGAAAACAAACGCAAGAGGAGCCTTTTGAGTGAGTTAGGTTAGAGGCAAACTTTTTTTTACAGACTAAGAGTTTTTAAGGGTTCAGGGCGGGAGAGTTTATTAGAGGCTTGGACTGCTTCTGTGTTTCTTTGTTGTGCTTATTTGGGAGGGGAGAGTTGTGTTTTTTTTTTGTTTGTTTGTTTGTTTTGTTTTTTTTTCCAGCTGCAGACATACCCCCCAAGTCTGCTTTTAGCTTCCCTATCTTAGTGCCCCTGAAGGGAGAGGAATATCCTTATTAAGGCCCACTGTTTTACTGGGGCCCATTGTATGAGGGTGAAATTTGGCAGTTACCCAAGAGACTTTCCCCCTACTTCCCTCTGTGCCCGAGCTGTTTTATTTGTGTTTAACCGGCTGCTTTTTCTGTTTGCTTATAGTTAGAAGTGATTTCCTTGAAACACATAAGGCTAGAAAGGGAGTTGGAACTTAAAGTGGCGGTTTGTCCAAAATAAAGGTGCTCCTGCCCTGTCAATTACCATCATCGGATAGGTGGGTGACAGAGGTCCTAGGAGAAGAAATATAGATGATCATAGATAGTAGACTTTGAATATAAATCTGAAAAGCACTTCGTTCTTTCCATCACAGTCTGCCTGTCACCATTGGTCCTAAGATACTCAGAAGACAGGAAGCTGGCTATATCCTGCATGGAGGCTTCTTCTAAACTGTTTTTTTCTCTGCTGTCCACAGCAGATGCTACTGCAATTGCACAACCTCCTATGGACCACCCACTACCCCCACCCCACCCTCAGCTCTGCTTTGGGAGGTTATTTTGAGGAACATCATTAAAATCAGGCATTTCTTCTAATCTCTAGGTGTATAGTTCTCAGGGATTGTTGACAAGCCAGTAGTTCTTCATTTAATTGGACAACAGGTGGCACTAGAGACCATATAATCTCCACATTTCTAAACCCTGCCTGTTCTTACCAACAGCTGTAAGCAGGCAAGGTCTGTCACTTAAACCACACTCTTGCCAACACCCCTAAAATCCCTTGTTCCTTTTTCCTTCAGTTACATTCCCTTCCCTCTGCTGAACTCCATTCCAGGACCAGTTAAACTGTTTATGCTCCTTCTGCATGGTGAATGCTCTGGAGAAGACCCCCAGACATACAATATGGGGCACCTTTGAACTCATGGTTAGGCTCTCTGCACGGGCCTGGACTAACATAGTTTCCTGTCTAATTTTCCTTAAGAGTCACTTCAAACTTCACAGACCCTATCTTCTTTAGTAATGTGTTCCATACATGCAAATGCCACGTGTGGGGTTTTGCACTGTGGCAATAAAGTAAAAGGGCTGAGTTCCATGTCTGGGTTTGTGAGATGCAGAACATAGTAGCAGGTGTAGAATGGCAAGAAGATGCCTAAACAGAAGGAATACAGCAGATGCAGGAGCAAAGAGCCTCAGGTAACCGAGAGTGTAAGTCCCCCACTGTTTCCTTTCACACAAGTCCCTGAAAAGGCATTCATTGTACTTCCTCAGACAAAACATGGAGATTTGATTGATCTTCCTAGATCTGAAGGGTGAAGGAGACTCTGGATGACCTCTGGCAAGTCCATAGATCTGTCACATCTTTCCTCTGTTTATAAATATCTGTCTTAATACACAGGGTATGAAGTTCAGACACATGAAGGATAGCAGTATAATCATAAGATTTTGACCTAAGGATACCTGAATTCTGCCTTGGCTCTGCTCTCTGTTTCCTGAAGGAGAAGACAAAAAAGGATCAGTGGCATGTTATAATCTAGGCACATATGCCGGTAATCCAAGGGAGAAAGTTCTGGTAAAATTGAGTGAGCATATGACCAAGGCTCAAACCATAGGCTGGGCCTCTTCTTCTCCCTAAGCCCAACTCTTACCACTAGCCAGTGTCCGAAGATTCAAGGAAAGGGAATAAGTGGTGCACAATTGAGGGGAAAAGGAAGAGGCAAATGGGCAGGTTGGGTCCTCCACAGGATGCAAGCAGTAGAAAAACATACGAACCAGCCAGCTACCTTGGGGCAGGGTGGGAGTAGGGGAGAACTTTGGCTTGATTTTGTTTTTTTTTCCTCTGAGGATAGCTTTGGAGAGTAAGCAACACTATATATGGTACTTTTAACATATTGTAGGCCTGCTTGTGAGTAAACAAGGCCCAACCAGTGCCTGGAAATGTGATTTAAGCAGATGAAAATTCCCTTTTTGTGGGGAGCTAGGAGGGAGATAAGGGGGTGAAGCTTCCTTTCCTTTATACTTAAATGGCATTCTAGGCCTTTCAATAATTTGGTCCCCAGTCAATGTTTCCAATCTTACCTCTCACCTATCTCTCCATTGTAGCCAAGAACTCGTCAATATGCACTAAACAAGCTGTACTTTTCCACATTTCCTTTGCTTACATTGTCTTCTCTTCCTGGAATTCCCTTATCTACCTGGTGAATCTTAAAATCCAGCTCAAAAGTCATCTCTTCTTTGAAGCCTTCTTTTACTTCCTGAGGGAGAATTAGTGGGTTTTTTTAGTTTATCATGATTTATTTCTGTGTTTAGCTCCCTCACTAGTTTGAACTGTATGAGGACAGGGACCATGTGTTTGTTACTCATACTGCGCCCCTGGCACTTAGCAGTGCACTTGGCATTCAGTAGATGTTAAATAAACACTTCTTTTTTTTTTTTTTTTTCTTAGTAAGTGAATGAGGACTGGAAGGTGATAGATATGGGGCCTGCCTTGCCAATATATGTCCATTGGAGTATCTTATGGGATCTTTTTTTTGGGGGGGGGCTTGGGAGGGTTTATTAAGTGATGCTTTAGTCTCAGTCTCTGCCAGCAACTAGGGGTGGGGTGACTCCACTCACCCCAGGATTTCTCAGACTTGCTGCTTTAGAGGAGAGAGGCAGGAAGCCAACTATCCTCTAAGCCACAGCTTGGGAAGCTAGGCTAGTACCGGGGTGGGGGCAGCAGAGCTGAGACCCTCCACCCTCAGCCCCCAGCCTGTGCTATCCTCCCAGCCTGAGGGGGAGGAGCTGAGGCAATCTTGGCTGCAGCCTCCCACACACAGCCCTGCTCTTGGTGCACCGTTCACTGCCCTGAGTTATTCATGATCTCTGCTCCCACATATTCACCTCCACACTCCAAAAGCCAGCCCCACATCCAGCCCCTCCAGGTCTTTAGTCCTGGGGAGGGCAAAAGGAGGGACAGGGGGCCTCTGATTGAGCAGCTTCAAGGAGCCTCTCCTTTCTGTTGCCCACTGAATGCCAGCCCCTTGTCTTCAGCCCTCCCTTAGATAGGAAGAGGGGTGGTGGCCTCAGACTGCACCCCCTTTCTTCTCTTCCTGGCATCCCATTCTGTCCCAGCACAGCAGCCAAGAGCACAAAGCACAGCACCTGTGAGGCTGGTGGGCACAAGAGCCCATGCTGGCACAGGCCAGACTGCCTGCAGCCCTAGGTGGGGCCTGCTCCCTCCCTGCCCTGGAAGCTAGACAGAGGGAGACAGAAAGCAGTAGTGGGGCAATGGGATGTGCAGCCCCTGTGGCAGGAGGAGAAGCACATGAACCCTGACCCTGCTACTTGGTGCAGGCTACTCCAGGCCTCGCTTCTGTAAGAGCCTCTGTGGCTGGCTCCACAGCTGCCCAGCCCCCATAAAGGGGGCTGAAAGGAGGATGAGTGGTCCTTGAAGAGGTGAAGGGTCTGCAGAGAATCACTCAGACACCAGGTATTACTCAGCTCTTCCCGCAAGACCTGGAGGGTCCAAACTCCTGGCCCCAACCACCCTTCACCTTGGGTGAGGAAGAAGGGCCTCTTCTGCTGTTCCTTCCCCTCAGAGATCCAATAAACCACTCCAGTGAAATGCAGGGACCCATGCCTGCCACCTGCCCCTGGAGACAGCAGGAGAGTTGAGGCAGGAAGGCTGGCCAGGGGCCCTTATGGGATCTTTTAATAGAAGTTAGCCTTCTGAGACAACACAGCCAAGCACAAGCCAGTAAGTGTTGCAAGAGTGAAGTGGGAACTATACCTAAATGGCTGTTGATCTCAAAGAACTGAAAGCTAAAAGAAATGTTATTTTCTTATTGGTTAGTGTGTTAGTCTGCTATGGCTGCCATAACAAAGTACCACAGAGGTCTTAACAGAAATGAATTGTCTCACAATTCTAGAGGCTAGAAGTCTAAAATCAAAGTTGGTTTGTTCCTTCTGAGGGCTTTGAAGAAAGAGCTGTTCCAGTTCCCTCTTCTGGGCTTGCAGATGGTGTTGTCCGTGTCTTCACATCATCTTCCCTCCGTATGTGTCAGTTTTTGAGTTCAAGTTTCCCCTTTCTACAAGAACATCAGTCACGTTGGATTAGGGCTCATACTAAAGACCTCATCTCAATACATGTGCAACAATCCTATTTCCAAACAGGTTAAACTTCAACTCTGCAAATGCAGTGAAATATTTTACTAAAACAAACAAGTATTATTAATAAAAACAATTTTGCAGACATTTCTCTTACTCTTTCATTTTATTTTGATTCTTTAAGCTGGTTTTGGAATGAGCAACTATTTGTGTAACCACTGACTGCTAGAGAGTATTTATCATTGAGATAGTCCATACCTGGGAAATAATGTTTCTGTTCTGAGTGATCTTGCAATAGTAATTCACTTATCTGGGGCTGTATTTTCTTATCTGTAAAGTGAAAGTATTGAATTAAATAGTCTATCTCAAAAATCTCTACATGTTCTTTGAAGTTTTTTCTTTACAGTACAATGGGGTAGATGAAACAAACATCTGAAAATGTATGGAGAGTGTTTGCTAAATAACCTGTTAGTAGATTAATGCAGAACAAACAGAATATATAGCTATAAGTAGGAGATATTTGAGGGAAATCACCATTTGAGCTTATTTCTATTACCCCCATGATTTTATCTTTCTTTTTAAAGAAAACTTTTCCAAGTCCGTTATTAATCACTGACTTGTCCTGCTTTTCATCATTTGATTTTTCTCATATACAGTGGAGCTGTCCTCCCCAGTACCTGGAACAATGCCAGCCACATAGTAAATTCCCAATAAATATTTAATGAAAGAATGAATGGAAGCAAGAGGTGACATGATTCTAGGAACTGTGTGTAGTTTGGACACCCTTGTGAGTAGATGTGAGGAAACAAGATCCTTTCACTCTCAATGTGTCTACACTGGCAGAAGAATTGCTAATATGTGTTCAGGGGTGCCTTTGTTCACACTATGCCACCCAGAGTGATAAATGGGTCCATACACACTTGTGGATAAGAATGTCTTTAGAATTTCCATTAGTAAGAACCATTACACAACAGTCAAAAGGACTGTTGCCACGTGGTCTTATTTGTGCTCTCAAATTCCTGTTCTTTTTAAAAAATTTTTTAAAGAAATGAGGGTCTTAATCCTATGCAAAAAGAACGAAGCTGGCAGCATCACGCTACCTGACTTCAAACTATACTACAAGGCTACAGTAACCAAAACAGCATGGTAGGGGTACCAAAACAGATATATAGACAAATGGAACACAACAGAGGCCTCAGAAACAACACCACACATCTATAACCATCTGATCTTTGACAAACTTGATAAAAACAAGAAATGGGGAAATGATTCCCTATTAAATAAATAGTGCTGGGAAAACTGGCTAGCCATATGTAGAAAGCTGAAACTGAATCCCTTCCTTACATCTTATACAAAAATTAACTCAAGATGGATTAAAGACTTATTTAGACTGAAAACCATAAAAACCCTAGACGAAAACCTAGGTAATACCATTCAGGACATAGGCATGGGCAAGAACTTCATGACTAAAACATCTAAAGCAATGGCAACAAAAGCCAAAATAGACAAATGGGATCTAATTAAACTAAAGAGCTTCTGCATGGCAAAAGAAACTACCATCAGAATGAACAGGAAACCTACAGAACGGGAGAAAATTTTTGCAATCTACCCATCTGACAAAGGGCTAATATCCAGAATCTACAAAGAGCTTAAACAAATTTACAAGAAAAAATCAAACAACCTCATCAAAAAGTGGGCAAAGGATACAAACACACACTTCTCAAAAGAAGACATCTATGCAGCCAACAGACACATGAAAAAATGCTCATCACTGGTCATCAGATAAATGCAAATCAAAACCACAGTGAGATACCATCTCACGCCAGTTAGAATGGCAATCATTAAAGTCAGGAAACAACAGATGTTGGAGAGGATGTGGAGAAATAGGAATGCTTTTACACTGTTGGTGGGAGTGTAAATTAGTTCAACCATTGTGGAAGACAGTGTGACGATTCCTCAAGGATCTGGGATTAGAAATACCATTTGACTCAGTGATCCCATTACTGGGTATATACCCAAAGGATTATAAATCACGCTACTACTATAAAGACACATGCACACGTTATGTTTATTGCAGCACTATTCACAATTGCAAAGACTTGGAACCAACCCAAATGTCCACCAGTGATAGACTGGATTAAGAAAACATGGCACATATACACCATGGAATACTATGCAGCCATAAAAAGGATGAATTCATGTCCTTTGCAGGGACATGGATGAAGCTGGAAACCATCATTCTCAGCAAACTATCACAAGGACAGAAAACCAAACACCGCATGTTCTCACTCATAGGTTGGAATCAAACAATGAGAACACATGGACACAGGGCGAGGAACATCACACACTAGGGCCTGTCACGGAGTAGCGGGCTGGAGGAGGGATAGCATTAGGAGAAATACTTAATGTAAATGACGAGTTGATGGGTGCAGCAAACCAACATGACATATGTATACCTATGTAACAAACATGCACATTGTGCACATGTACCCTAGAACTTAAAGTATAAAAATAATAATAAAGAAAAGAAAAAGAAAGGAGGGTCTTTCTCCATTGCCCGGGTTGGACTCCTAGGCTGAGGGGATCCCTCTCCTTCCCAATAGCTGGGGCTACAGGAGTGCACCACCACGCCCGCCTGGCTCAATTCCTGCTCCTTTTGGTCTATAAAGCGGACTGTGGCCGTGGGGCTCATGCGATAGAGTCACCAGCCACTGGAGCTTTACAGGAGAGAGTGGGAGGGGAGGCTCAGAGAGGTCACTCAGTACCCAAAGTGTGCCCAGACGGGCCCTAACTACGTGGCGTGACCTCAGGCGGGGCCAACTGATCAAGGACACCGTGTCCCCACCCACCCTGACCGCTTCAGGGTATGCTTAGGTGTCCGAACTCTTGTTCTCCAAAGAGATTCAAACAGCCGCGAGACACCCCTAACGGTCTCCCGAGGCCGGGATTGTCCGGAGCGGAAGCGGAGCCGCGCTTCCCAGGAGCGCGCCGAAGCGCACTGCGCAGCCGCGGTGGGAGGAGGCACCGGCCGCGCGGCGGGAGGAGGTGCTGGCCGAGTAGTGCAGACAGCGCCGGGAAGATGAGCACGGCAGGTGGCGGCCGTCGCCGCCAGGCGCAAGTGTCCCGCCGCATCTCCTTCAGCGCGAGCCACCGATTGTACAGGTAGAGTGTGCACACAGGTGCAGCGCTGGGCGGCGGGCCTCGGCCCCCGGAACGTCTCCGGGGCGGGGCTGGGGTCGTGCTGACGTCGGCCTCGGGAGGGGCGCCGGGGCTTCTGGGGCGACGCTGAGTACGGAGGGCGGCGCGCGTTGGTCGCGTTCGCTGGTCTTCGGTCGGCCCCGAGCATCGCGATGGCGGCTGGAGTGGCCCCAGCCCTGGAGGAGTCGGGGAGCTTGGTGGTTAACGGAGCCGACTGCGGAGGGCGATGGCCCACGTCTGAGTGTGGGGCCCACGTCCGACTCTGCGACTCGAAGAAACGTCTCTGCCCCTAGGAGTCCCTTGGTGTACGCCACAGGGTTGTTGTGAAGCTCAGCGGTGTTAAACTCACCTATGTTACACAGTACCTGCCGCGGCGTAGACACCCAATAAATGTTAGCGAATCTTGTATGCCAGGAGCATTGGCGACCATATCTAATGTAATTACAAGGCAAGTTTTAGCGCCTTTTTAACCAAAGACAGAATGAACCCAGTCCCTGGTGGTCTAGTGGCTAGGAGAGAAAAAAAAAAAAAAAAAAACAAAAAAACGAGCCCAGACGTTCAGTTTCCGAAGCAAGCAGCATAGTTGGGATTTGAAACCCGATCGTACATACCGCTTGCATGCCCTGAAGAGTTGATTTTGAGGAGTTTTACCACTCACTAACAAGCTCCACTCTCTGGCCTTCCGTATCGTCGTCTGTGAAATGAGGATAACCATTGTTACCTAACGGGATTCATCCCTCCATTCGCTAAACGAGGATTTGTTTCTTGGTTGTCAGGGCTTGTGCTAGGTAACGGATGCATCAGGGGTCTTGTATGGGGTTTCCAATCTGGCCTATTTTGTGGAGGGTACACTGAGAGAATTTTGTGCAAAAGACTTTAGCACTTTAAATACAAGAAGTGGCTGAGCAGGAGAAAGTGGGGGTGTGTTATTCCATTTTACATTGCCGTGAAGGAATACTGAGACTGGTGTTTTGTAAAGAAAAAAGGTTTATTTGATTCTGCAGGCTGTACAAGAAGCATGGCAGCAGCATCTGCTTCTGTTGAGGCCTCAGGGAGCTTCCACTTGTGGTGGAAGGCGAAGGGGGAGCAAACAGGCAACTCACAGTGCAAGTGAGGGAGCAAGAGAGAGGAGGGGAGGTGCCAGGCTCTTTTTAACGACCAGCTCGCCCATTAACTAATAGAGCCAGAACTCGCTCATTGCTTCAGGGAGGGCACCAAGCCATTCATAAGGGATCCACCCCCATGAGTCAAACATCTCCCACTAGGCCCCAGCTCCAACATTGGGGATCACATTTCAACATGAGATTTGGAGGGGACAAACATCCAAACTACATTGGGGGGAATCATAAAGAGGATCTCAAAAAGAAAGGGGTTGTATAATAAGAGGCATAAACACCTGAGAGTGGTAAGGCCTCTTAGAGGATGCAAAATTGAATGGATGTGTATAAGTATAAACATTCATTAAGCAATTTGGTTTCTGTCTGAGACAACAGTCAAAGATTGTAATTTTAAAAATTCACCTGCTTTGAATATTCCTCAACAGATTGGTAAAGTTCTCATGAGGCAGTCATTGAGACATAGTATAAAGCAAGATTGTTAAATAGGAGACTTACCAGGTCATGTAATTAAAATTTTTTTTTTTTTTTTCTGGATGAGTAGTTTAGCTTCTGAGAGAAATGAGATGGTAAGCCACTTTGCGGATCACCATCTATGTTTATCATTATATGCTGTTATTTCATTCAGCACTTGCCTAATACATTGTAGGCACTCAGTAATGTTGAATTGAAAAGCGGAAGTCCCATGAGCAGATCAGCTGCTGTGGAACAAGGGGCTTGAAGTTAAGGTTTGTTTGTGCTAATTTGTATGGTACAGTCTTGTAATTAGGGAATATGCCATGGTTTCTGACATATACATGAGTAATAAAAATCAACATGATTTCTGACTCCCCGTTTGGTGAGCTAAAGTAATAACAAATTGGGAGACTTTTCAAAGATCAGAGCAAATAATAAATATAAGGAACAGAGAAGGGGGTTTGGATGTGATACTTGTGTCATGCTGACTTTTTTTTTTTTTTTTTTTTTGTTAGTAAATTTCTGAGTGATGAAGAAAACTTGAAATTGTTTGGGAAATGCAGCAATCCAAATGGCCATGGGCACAATTATAAAGGTGAGAGAAAAACTGATGACATTTCAGCCCTTCAATAAGGATGAAAGAGTATTCAGCAAATGTAGACACAATGAATGGGAAAACTTACGGACACTGTGTGAATGCTTTGAGCTTTGAATGAGAAGTTAAATGGGAGTAGATTGAAAGGATCTGTTGTCTTGGTTAGATGTGTGTTAAGTTTTACCTTACAATTGTCAACTCTTACAAACAGACCAAAACAATGAATGGTTTAAAGCATTTTTCTTTGTCCTAGAGTACACAATTTCTTTCTGATTAGGTGTGGCTGAGGCTAATGTTAAAATTAGATTTTATTCTTTGAGTAAATAATGACTGACAAAACGAGAATGTTGCCTAGGAATGTAATATATGGCAGAAAAATAGGTTTGGTCTAAAGCTTTGCCAGCAGTATTCCAAGAAAGTAGGTAATTTGTCCAAAGATAAGAGACTTGATTCTTTGAGGTACAGCCTGCCTTAAAAAACAGCTACATAAGCCATAGAGTATAAAACAGTGTGTGGTGGTGGCATAAAAAAAGACCAGACAAGGTGTCAGATTAGGATTCCTGGTTTAGCTACTGCCTCTTCTTTAATCTATGGTATCTCAGTCTCAGTGTACTTACTTATCACGTAATACCTAATGGTATTTGTATAGAACTAAAATACATACATTCGTAAAAGTTATTAATGTGTACAGCACTGATCAAGATTTTTTTTTCCTTTTTTTTTTTTTTTGAGACGGAGTTGCGTTCTTTTTGCCCAGGCTGGAGTGCAATGGCGTGATATCTGCTCACTACAACCTCCACCTCCCAGGTTCTAGCGATTCTTCAGCCTCAGCCTCCCGAGTAACTGGGATTACAGTTGCCCACCGCTGCGCCTGGCTAATTTTTGTATTTTTCGTAGAGATGGGGTTTCACCATGTTGGCCAGGTTGCTCTCAAACTCCAGACCTCAGGTTATCCTCCCGCCTTGGCCTCCCAAAATGCTGGGATTACAGTCATGAGCCACCACGCCTGGCCAAGAGTTTTCAAATGCTTTTCACAAGCACTTTTTAATTTACAAAGCATTACTTTAGACTTTGTATACATTCACGTGAGTAAGGGGATAAGAATTGAAGGCCCAGTAGTATTGCTTGTTCAGAAAGGTACTGTTCAGTATTGGACCAGCTTGCTGTGTAGCTGGACACCTACAAGTACAGTTTCTAATTCTACAGGCAGAGATTGAGCAGCATCTTGATGCTCCCTAGTGCATTAACATTATAAGCAGAATTTACACCCTTTTCAGCCTTGGCTGAGTGCCTCTGCTTAGCCAAAGTTCCTAACTAAGCTCCTTTGTCTTGCTTGCGTCTTGCTTTGGTTGATTTAAAAAAAAAAAAAATCTTAACTAAAATAACAAATGTTTTGGGGTAAATATTTAAGTATAGCTTTTGGGGACAGATCTAATAATTTATGTTGCCAACTTGTGCTTGTATGTTGCTAACTTGTGCTTGGATGTTAATCTGTTGAAAGTCATGCTGTTTTTTTGGTATTTTGTTTCCTTTCCATAGTTGTGGTGACAGTACATGGAGAGGTATGTGCAGAAAATATTTGTGTGGTTTTTGCAGATTGCTGGGCTCTCTTTCAGCCAGTGTGGTGGATTCTGTGTTGAAAACTGTTCCAGTCAGTATTGCTCATTGTTGGCCCTTGTATATGTGTGTGTGGTGAACTGCTGCCATTCCAGGCCTCTTCTCTACCAAAGTGTTGTCTTTAATGTGCTGTGTGTGGACAGGTAGAAGGGCTATACAATGAAAAGGATGCTTGAAGTACATGGTGCTTCCATGCTGAGGTCAGTGATTATCTCTGGGATGAAGGCAAATGTGGGCACAGTCTCTGCATACTGTACTGCCTTTAATAATTTGCCAGCTGTTTAATACGGAGAGCCTATGAGAGTAATATTCACCTTTGTTTATTCTTTAGATTGACCCTGCTACGGGAATGGTTATGAATTTGGCTGATCTCAAAAAATATATGGAGGTAATGGCATGTTGGGTGCTTATTATGTGCTATTCCCTAAGTATAATATTTGGTGGCCCCCTATCTACCTCCCCAACCAGTTATATCTTAAGACTCCATGACTCTGTGAGTAGAATTGGATGTGGGTGTTGGGGTATAGTTGGAGGAACTACTCGCATGGCCTCTAAAGGTGTTTTGGTGACTTAATGGAAATTAGTCACAGTTGTGTTACAGCGATGGGAGGAAATATAACATGCTTACCTTGTATTCCTTGTTGGAATATCCTGATTTCCTTCAGTTAACAAATTCTCCATTTCTTTTAAGACATAGCTTTCTCCTTGAGACTTACTTTTTGTTTTTTAATAGGCACAGAGCCAATGCAAATTTTTCTTTTTGTAGAGGTAGGGGTCTCACTATGTTGTTTAGGCTGGTCTCAAATGCGTCCTGCCTTGACCTCCCAAAGTGCTGAAATTACAGGCATGAGCCACTGTTCCTGGCCTTCTCCTTGGAGCTTTCTCTTCCCTCTTTGAATATTCCTTGTACTTTTGATCATAGATTTAGATACCACACCATGTTATTCACTCTAGATTTATTATAAACCCACCAGAGCAGTACATCATAGAGATAACACACAAGGGGTTCAGTGAAGAACTTAACTGATTATATCATTATAGAATTCTTGCTTTGTAAGAGACTTTGGAGATTATTCAAACCAACTTCTTCAGTCCGTAGATTAAGATTGAGAGATGCTGAACAGTTAATGGACTTGCCCCAGATCGTGTGGCTAGTTATTTGCAAAGTTGGGAGTAGATTTCTTTCCATCCAGCTGATTATTATGCCGTCATTTCACTTGCAGCTTAGTTTTGTTCTGAAATTTGACATTTGCTTTATTAAAATGATGTTATTAGTGATGTTTACTTCTTTCACATTATTCATATATTCAACAAATTTGTCTACTTTGCATCAGTTTGTGAGCTAAGTATACAAAGATGAATGAGATGTAGCCCACAGAGTGTATACATTACTTTTTCTAGGAGGTGAAGAATAGTAATTGTTAAATAACTGTTGATTTAATAAATGAGGAAAAGAATGAGTGAATAAAGAAACAGCACTGTGCTCAAAGTACTTTAGGAAAGTTATAGAGATAGGGCCTGCATGCATTTATGGGGCAGGGGTTGGGGGGGCCATGAGGGAGAGAGAGAGAGACAGAGACAGGAGAAGAGGAGAGGGGAGGAGAGTAGAGGGGAGGGGAGGAGAGTAGAGGGGAGGGGAAAGAAAGAAAAAGAAAGAAAAAGAGAAAGGAAAAGAAAGAGAAAAGAAAGAAAGGAAAGAGATAAGAAAGCAACATAAAAGCCCTCAACATATGACTGAATACTGGAGGAGGGGTTCTCTGTGCTGTTTTCTGCTTTTGTGTGCCTGAAGGACACCACACACTTTCATCAGTGAAAGTGACTCATCGTGGCATATAGAGTGAACTTAGAACCCTACCATGGAGAGAGGATTGCTTGAGCCCAGGAGTTCAAGGCTGCAGTGAGCTATGATTGTGCCACTTGTACTCCAGCCTGGATGACAGGGACCCTGTCTCTAAAAACAAAACAAAAGAAAACAAAAAGTCCTGCATAAGAGGCTTTACTGGAGAAATTGGGACTGGAACTGGGATTGAAGATGAAGCAAAGATACCTATTTTCTTGCTATTCATGTGGAACATCCCTTCATTGGATCTGTTTCAACAACTGTTTGATCTAGGACTTACTCTTTTTGTATGATTCTAGTTTTTCTCAAGAAATGATTGCTATTACTGTTATTAATGTACCCTTCTTGAAACTACACCATATGGAAAATTAGATTTTTTTTCACAAATGCCAGATTTTTTGCAATAGCTAAAAGCAAAAAGCAAAGAAAGAATAAGGCAATTTAATCCTTGCTGATGATGAGGAAAAACATTATGTTAATATACATGAACATTAGGGAGTAATAGTCTTTACATATTTGTACTTTTCCTTCTGTGAGCCCAAAACCATTCTTAAATTACTCCTCCTAGCAGAAATTTAGAACTGCTTACATAATTTCGGTCAGATCTGCTTTATAAAATGTAGTAGTCACTGGATCTTTGTCCATGATATTGTGGCATTGTTCCGTAGGTGTAACAGTGTTATGGAAAAATATTGGTGCTAACTCTTTGGACAGGATTCCCAGAGTGCTAAACTGAATTCTGAATTACAGTGGCTTGTGTTGCGAGAAAGCTCCAGGATTCTCTGCGTTTTGGTTTCTTACCTCTTTTTATTCAGTAACAAGGGTTCCTAATCATTACCAACAGCTGGGCCTGACTTTATTTCACAACTTAAAATTTTGTAAGGTTGCTTTGTAAGACTCAAATCTAGTACTTACAAGTATTTAGTTAGTGGCTAAGTGATAAGGTGAGGTTTAGAGGCATAAGTGTAACAATTTGGAATTTGAGTCATGCATGGAGCCAATGATATTTTCCCTTGGTTTTGTCTCTAGGAGGCAATTATGCAGCCCCTTGATCATAAGAATCTGGATATGGATGTGCCATACTTTGCAGATGTGGTGAGGTGGGTGGCACTATACCTTGCTTTATATAGATTGTAAAACAAGAATTGATTTGAATATTTGATTGTTGTGTGATTTCTGAAGTTTTAATTAAATCTTTCAAAACTAGAATTTCTATTCTCTATAAATATTAAACATGAAATTTTATTGTTTGCATTTTGAATTTTTGTTTGTTTGTTTGTTTTCCTATAGCACGACTGAAAATGTAGCTGTTTATATCTGGGACAACCTCCAGAAAGTTCTTCCTGTAGGAGTTCTTTATAAAGTAAAAGTATATGAAACTGACAATAATATTGTAGTTTATAAAGGAGAATAGCTATTAGGGGTTAGCACTGTACAAAGCCCAGTTTCCTTCTATGTTTGAAAAAGATTTTGATCCCCTTGGAATATTAAGAGGTCAACACGTGATTGTTGTACCTCCACATTGTGCTCTGGCGTCCCTATTTATTGAAATCATTGTAAGACCTGTTATAAATATAAGTCTATTTAAAACTAAACTTGTAATATATTCTGAAAATCATTTAGAGAGTCTTTTATTTATAAATTAAAAATCACTTCATTTCCAGCAAAATGTTTTGGTGTGGAATTATTTGAAAGCAAAAGAAATCTAATTTTGTTGTTTTCTCCATTACCTCATTTTTAGTATTCATTTTTACTTGGTATAATATACATGGTTAAAATGCTTATATGACTTCGAGTATGTGAATCTTATAAGAAATAAAATTCAAGTGACCACAAAGTCTGGAGACTATATATATTTTTAATAGATTGAACTCTCTTGATTACTACTTGTTGGGTGTGCTGAAGGCAAAAGTGGATTCAGTGAAAAATCATCTGAGGCAATGTGTTGTGGATACATGTAGAGATTGATGGAAATGCTGCTTTAGAGCACATCGTTTATTACAATTTTGCACAGCATATTGAATTATGAATTGCTAGTGAGGAACAACACATTAAACATATCATGGAATATCAGTAAATTATTTATTCAGTGTATTCATCTGAATTTCTGAACCTTATGGGCACTTGAATAATTTTAACTCAGAAGACTGCAGAATTATCATATATTTTAAACTCTACAGTCAGCATACAAAGGATCAACTACCATATAAAGTATTTCCTGTATGTAGTTTTTCCTAATTGATCCCATTTTGTTCTGATTTTAAACTTACGATATTCTTGGCATTCTTCTCTGGGATCTTTTCCTCGTGACTAAATCCACAAGAAAGTATTTGCTTACTTTGCACAAAAGACGTTCTGTGTTCTTGTTTGTATTCTAAATTTCTTAAATGCAGGGTTCTGATTTTCTCTCCACATAGCAACTAGCATACAATGAATTCCCAGAATGTTGTTGCCTGAAAATAGTAAAAGGGCTTTTGCAGTGATTACTATTCTAGAAAAATTTGCAAAGAGTGGTCTTTTTTAGTGATTGCAGAAATATAAAGTTTGACAGTAATGCAAATGGCCACTCAATTATATTTAATGTATTTTAGTTATCAATTTGAATGTTCTATATGTAGGATGTTTTGTATTGATTACCTGAAAGGCAGATCGCTATTATTTATGAAGGCACTTTATGTTTTAATTCACACAAATACCCTACAAGCTGGAATTCTTATTCTGTTGGTAAGATAATTAAAGTTGAGCGAGTTTAAGCTATTTGCTTTAGATCATTCAGCAAATAAATTGCAAACTGGATGTTTAACATTCAGGTTATTTCTGACTCTGAAACACAGACTCTGAAAAGGGACAATTTGAATATTTCCAGATTTTTTGAGAGTCTGATCTTACTTGTTACTCAATTTAATTTTTTTTTTTTTTTCTTTTGAGACCAAGTCTTGCTCTGTCACCAGGCTGGAGCACAGTGGCGTGATCTCGGCTTACTGCAACCTTCACCTCCCAGGTTCAAAAAATTCCCCTGCCTCAGCCTCCTGAGTAGCTGGGACTACAGGCACGCGCCACCATGCCCGTCTAATTTTTTGTATTATAGTAGAGATGGGGTTTCACTGTTTTGGCCAGGATGGTCTCAATCTCCTGACCTTGTGATCCCCCTGTCTCGGCCTCCCAAAGTGCTGGGATTACAGGCGTGAGCCACTGCGCCCAGCCAAAAATCTTATTTTTGACTGGATTCAGACTGAGAAGTAGAGGCTCGCAGTGAGGACAGTCTGTGTCTCTTGGCAGTCTGTTCCTGGCACTCTTCTTTAGCCTCCTTCATTCTCTTGGCCAAAAGTTTAGCATATTCTGGAGCCTCTTCCTTATTTTTCTTAATACACTGTTTCTTCAGAGCAATATGCTGGTGTTTGTGCTGTAGGACACGTGGAGGAACAAGATGCTGAATCTTGGGTACTTTGGTCCTAGGTTTCTTACCTTCTTTGTTTAAGTGCTTGCTTATGACATACTGGCAGACATCATCTTCTTGAGAGAGATTGAAAAGTTTGCGGATTCTGCTAGATCTTGGGCCCCAGGAGATGAGACACCATAGGATCAGCCCAGGAATATCCTTCTCTCCTTATTTATTTATCTATCTATCTATTTATTTTGAGATGGAGTCTTGCTCTGTCGCCCAGGCCAGAGTACAGTGGTGCAGTCTCGGCTCACTGCAGGCTCCACCTCCCAGATTCACCCCATACTCCTGCCTCAGCCTCCCGAGTAACTGGGACCACAGGCGCCCACCACCATGCCCGGCTAATTTTTTGTATTTTTAGTAAAGACGGTGTTTCACCGTTTTAGCCAGGATGGTATCGATCTCCTGACCTTGTGATCTGCCCGTCTTGGCTTCCCAACGTTCTGGGATTACAGGCATGAGCCACCGCGCCCGGCCCCTTCTCTCCTTTTTTTTAACAATAACCAATTTGAGAATGCTCGGATTGGCATCCACAATGCACACTTGAACAGATTATTGCTTTCTTTCTCCAGTTCTCCCGGGTCTATAACAGGAATGCCCCTTACCCAGCAGCAGGCAGACATGGCCATGGGTCAAGACATCCTGCTTCATGAGGAAACCTTGTTCCCACCACTGAATCAAACTGTGTAACCCTTCCAGTGTTTACCCAGAGCGCCAGCAGCAACTTCTGTGGCCATACGCTTCTCATAAAAAGCATGGTTTGCTTTTTATCTTGAAATTTTACCCATTCAGTATTCCTTCCCTGTTTTCTCCTGAGTTCCAAACCACCTTTCTCCCTACCTCATCACTGAAGCATCTTGAAGCAGCTGATCGCCTCTGAGGTGTCATGAAAAAGAGGCACGACTTCTGCTTTCATTTTTTATTTCTATTTTTATTTATTTATTTATTTTTTGAGACAGCGTTTCACTCTGTCGCCCAGGCTAGAGTGCAGTGGTGCAATCTCAGCTGACTGCAACCTCTGCTTCCTGGATTCAGGTGATTCTTGTGCCTCATCCTCCTCAGTAGCTGGGACTACAGGAGCACACCACCCCGCCTGGCTAATTTTTGTATTTTTTGGTAGAGACGGGATTTCACCATGTTGGCCAGGCTGGTCTTGAACTCCTGACCTCAAGTGATCCACCTACCTTGGCCTCCCAAAGTGCTGGGATTACAGGTGTGAGCCACTGTGCCTGGCCACATTTTTTTTTTTTTTAAATGCGGAATTTTGCAGATCTGATACCATATTAGAAAAACATTGTTCACAGTAACATTAACACTCTAGGTATTTGTTCATGAGTTGCTTCAAGAGAACTTTTGTTCCTACATGCCAAATAAGTAAATATTCTTAATGTAGAGAAGGAAAAAAAATCATCATGGGGTGATGAGGTTTGGAAAAGCTTAGTGGAGGAATGGTACTTTCAGTGATGGGGTAGGGAGAGTGGTGGTTTGGAACTCAGGAGAAAAGAGAGAATGAATACTGAATGGGTAAAATTTCATTAGCACAGTTACTAGAGTGGGAATATACAAAATATATTTGGGTTATAGCGAATATATTGATCTTAGCAGAGTGGTAGTGAGGTGTGAGAGTGTAATGAGAAATGAACTTGGAAATACAGGTTGGAGACAGCCTGGAGGGCCTTGAATGTCAATCAGTCTTTATCTTTTGAGGAATAGCAAGCTATTTGTTTTTAAAGAAGATAACCAGGTGGACAAAGGAAAGTGAGGAAACTATTTGCAAAACTGTTGCAGGAATCTAGACATGAAGCGATGGGTGCTTGGACCGTGGGGGTGGCAGTGGAAATAGATGGAAGGAGGAGAATAGAGCTAATTGTGCAGTGCCCACTATGGTGTCAGGCATTTTGCTAAATACTTCTTATATGACCTCATTTCATCCTCATAACCACCCTGCTGGGTGAATGTATTAATTACCTACTGCTGCGTAACAAATTACTCCCAAACATAGTGGCTTAAAACAGCACACATTTATTATCTCAGTTCTGCACACCAGAAGGCCACCTCTTGCTCAGAGTCACTCATAAGACTGCAGTCATCTCAGGGCTTGACCAGGAAGGATCCGCCTCCCAGCTCACTCCCATACTTGGTGGTTGGACTGAGGCCTCAGTTCCTCCCTCTGTTTCTTGCTGTGTAGGCCTCTTCACAGAGCATCTCCCAACATGACGGCCTGCTTCAGCAGAGCAGGTAAGAGGGTAAGGGAGAGTGCCACCATGATCGAAGACAGTCATTTGTAAGCGAATCGCTTTTTCTGTATTTTGCTCCTTTGAAGCAAGTGACTCCATCCAGTCCATACTCAGGGAGAGGGGATTAGACATATATTGCTAATGTGCACATTTTGATGTGGAGATACCAGGTGATAAGACTGGAGAGGTAGGCAATGAGTATATATCATGCCCTTTTTGATGCCAGGGAAGTAAAGCACATTTCATTTCACAGGAGTGAAATGTCAGAGCAGCAGCTGTTGTTTACAGTGGGAATTGTGGAGTTTGTGGGTGGTAGAGGAGTATAGAAATCTTGGAAGCACAACTCTTGAAGTTAAAACCAATTCTAAGGTGAGAAGTTAAAAAATACCACCATATCTCTGTGAACATAACGACCAGAGCTGAGCGATCATTTGTATCACCTCAATTGATGTAGGAACTACCAGCGGATTATAAAAATAGCCAGGATGCTTTGATCAATTGTGTACATGTGGCCACTAATACATTAGACCTATGATAAATGATCTGTTTGGCTTTTTAAACTCCAAACTTTTAAATTCCCTCTGGAATTGAAACTATCTTAAAGATAGGAAACAGATTGTGCTCATTTTGCTTTTGTTATGTCTGGGATATTTCTAGCCTCCCTTGCACATAGAAAAATCATTGTTGGTTTCACACAATTTAACTTTATAGCAAGGTTCTGCTGCAAGACACTTCTGGAAAGTGTCCCAGATAAACACCGTTAAAGTCTCCACATAGCTGCAGAGAGAACTGCTGTCGCCACAAAAGTAAGGGAAGGTGGTTCTTGCCCTGGAGAATTTTCAAAGCAGCATTTCCGCTTTCAAGTAGCTCATCGGTTGGTTCTCTTCAAAAATTGACTCACCCATTTCCACCAGTGTTCTGCAACCATTGAGACAGAAGAATTTATATATATATATATATATATATTTTTTTTTTTTTTTTTGAGACGGAGTTTTGCTCTTGTCACCCAGGCTGGAGTGCAGTGGCGTGATCTTGGCTCACTGTAACCTCCGCCTCCTGGGTTCAAGCGATGATTTTCCTGCCTCAGCCTCCTGTGTAGCTGGGATTACAGGCGCCCGCCACCACACCCAGCTAATTTTTGTGTTTTTAGTAGAGATGGGGTTTCACCATGTTGGCCAGGCTGGTCTCGAACTCCTGACCTCAGGTGATCCACCCGCCTCAGCCTCCCAAAGTGCTGGGATTACAGGCATGAGCCACTGTGCCCGGCCAAGAATTAATAATTTTAAAAAAGAAATAGAACAGTGTCCTTCTTCCTACCCACCTTTCTTTGTAGTTCTTGGCTAAAGAAGCACCTCCCAGGCTTGTAAGCCTTGTATTCTTGAAGAAGCCCTGCAGGACGCAGTGGCTCATGCCTGTAACCCTCTATGTTTGGGAGGCCTAGGTGGGTGGATCACTTGAGCCCAGGAGTTTGAGACCAGCCTGGGCAAATGGCAAAACTCAGTCTCTATGAAAACAAAAACCCTAAAAGTAGCTGGGCATGGTGGCATGCACCTGTAGTCCCAGCTATTCAGGAGGCTGCAGTGGGGGGATTGATTGAGCCTGGGAGATCAAGGCTGCAGCGAGCCGTAATTGTTCCATTGCACTCCAGCCAGGGCAACAGGGCAAGACTGTCTCAAAAAAAAAAAAAAAAAAAAAGCCCAAGAAACAAGTACTGAGTACTGAAGCCCATATTTGTCCTCATCAAGCCAGTTTATTATTCAGTGAAAATTCTCAAGTTAGTGTGATAATAATCTGAATCAAGTTTTCAAACCCTTTTCACTTTTCACAAGTATCTTCATAGATGCAAGCAGCGGGCTACAAACAACCTGAAGAAATAAAGGGGTTAGTGTGTCTTTTACCTATTAAAAATTTTACTTGACCACAGATAAAGCCACTGATGGTTGTCCTGTGGACACCTCAAACTTAACATTTCCAAACATGAATTTCTGCTTTCTCCTTCAAAACCTGTCCGTCTGCCAGTCTTTTCTAATAATGCCACAACCATCCATTCTTTTTTTTTTTTATTTTTGAAGACAGAGTCTCATTCTGTTGCCCAGGCTGGAGTGCAGTGGCGTGATCTTGGCTCACTGCAGCCTCTGCCTCCCGGGTTCAAGTGATTCTCATACCTCAGTCTCCTGAGTAGCTGGGATTACAGGCGCCCGCTACCATGCCCAACTAGTTTCTGTATTTTTAGTAGAGATGGGGTTTCACCATGTTGGCCAGGTTGGTCTTGAACTCCTGACCTCAAGTGATCTGCCCACCTCGGCCTCCCAAAGTGCTGGGATTATGGGCACGAGCCACTGCACCCAGCCCCATTCATTTTTTCAAGTGAGAAACCTGGGAACTCTTTTTGACCTACTCCTTCCCCTTCCCACCTGTTACATCTTATCTATCAGAAAGTTCTGGTTCTACCTCCAACATATATAATGGGTTTTGTCTGTCTCTCTTTTCTTTTTTTTCTTGGGGTGGGGGGCAGGGACTGAGTCTTGCTCTGTTGCCCAGGCTGGAGTGCAGTGGTGCGATCTTGACTTACTGCAGCTTCCGCCTCCTGGGTTCAAGCGATTCTCTTGCCTCACCCTCCCTAGTAGCTGGGATTACACTTGTGTGCCACCTATGCCTGGCTAATTTTTGTATTTTTAGAGATGGGGTTTCATCATGTTGGCCAGGCTGGTCTTGAATTCCTTATCTCAGGTGATCTGCCCACCTTGACCTCCCAATGTGCTGGGATTACAGGTGTGAGCCACCGTGCCTGGCCCTGTCTCTCATTTCTGATGCCACCACAAGAGTCCAAACTGCCACTGTTTCTTGCTTGGATGACTGACATGGCCTCTTAACTGGTCTCTGCCTTCCCCTTTAGTTCTCTTCCACAATCCTGTGGATCTTTCTAAAAGAGTAAATCAGATCTTGTCACTCCCCTCCCCTGTATCATCACTTGAAAGCTTCCTCCTGCTTTTGGAATATAATCCAAACTCCCCACACTGTCTAACTAAGCCTGATAGGATCCAGTTACTGCCTGCTTCCTAGCCTCAAGCCCTTCACTATGTTTTGGTTACATTAGCCTACTCTGAAGTCCTCAGATGCACCAGTTCCATTCCCATCTCAAGAGCTCGGCATTTACTGCCCTTCTCCTTGAACTGCTGTTCCCCCAAATCCCCTGCAGAAAACCTAAGCATTCTTCAGATCTCAGCTTACATGTCACCATCTTGGAGAAGCCTTCCTCAGGCCAGTGGTGTAGATAGAACCCTGTTGTATTCTAGGACAATACCATATACTCCTCTTTCTTGCAGTTTTAAAGTTTTGTATATTTGCTTCCTTTTGTCTTTTTCACTAGTTTACTGTCTATCCCAACCACGAAGGTGTCAACTTCACAAGGGCTGAAGCCCTGTCTGGTTCACTCTTGTCTCACCAGGACCTAGTGTAATGCCTGCCATACAATAGGTGCTGAATAATTAGTTACAGAGTGAATAATTATTTACAGAGTGAATTATTTACAGAGTGACTGCCATCTCTAAAGGAGTGGTTGAATCTGGTAATCTGGTTTGGTAAATTTTTTGAGATTTAATAGCTAGACTACAAGCGTGTACCACCATGCCTGGTTAAGACAGATAGATAGATAGATAGATTAGATAGAGATAGATAGATAGATAGATAGATAGATAGATAGATAGATAGATAGATAGATTTTTAGTAGAGACAAAGGTATTGCCATGTTGCCCAGGATAGTCTTGAACTCCTAGGCTCAACTGATCCTCCTGCCTTGGCCTGCCAAAGTGCTGGGATGATAGACATAAGCCACTGTATCTGGTCTAATGCCAAATGTTTTGAGCATCGTTCAGATATGTTATTCTTTATGCAGTTCAGCTTAGAGAACAACCACTACAACATAAAATAACATTTCATAAGTATTCCTTCAAAGCTGTTTATCTGCCTAACTTTATCTTCCTGGTGATTTTCCATTGCTATTTGTGGGTACAATTTGTTTTAGTCTTCAACTACTGATTTAGGTAAAGATAAGCCAGAACTCTAAATCCCAGCCCCTTTGGTAAATGGCTGTCCTCATGACCACACAAGGGGCCTCCCTTTTAGCAGGGTAAACAATAAAGGTTGTGTGTATCTGTCTCTGTCCCAGCTGTTGGAGAATAGATTTGTCCCAGGCAGGGAGAGCCTCAGCTCATTTTGTAAAGAATGCTCTTTATCATTCTATCTGTTTGGCCCCGAGAGCAGGATTCCTCGTGGAATGTGGAACTGACCTCATTTGTGGTAACACTGAGGCAATATTTATTTTCTAGCAAATATGGGCCTCGTAATTTGTTGCCATAATAACCCTCAATAATTCCCAGAGTACAAGGAGGAGAGTCAGGGCTCCATTCTTGTAGGGGAAAATGGTATTTGCAAAAGAAAAAAAATGCAACTTAAGCAGATTGTGGGATATAACATATGCCACCCTCATTTGAGAGCAAGTTGATGTCTGTGTGTTACTGGAAAGAGGTCTCAGACCTCACACAGAAAAAGAATTCAGGGTGAATCACAGAGTCTGGTGAAGTTAAGGTGGTTTATTAGAAACTACTCTTATTAAAGAATAGGGTGTCCTCAGAAAGCAAGAGGAGGAACACCCCTACCTCAAGCATAATGCTTGTTTATATAGGATATTAGTGTAACTGAGTACTCCCATTTGTCTAAGAAAAAGAGTTATTTTTAAAATTATTATTATTTGTTCTTTTTTCTGTCTCTTTTCCCCCTGCTCCCAACTTCCTACTTAGCTCTTCAGAAATGCAATTATAACCTTTTACCTCCCCTTCACCAGACACTCCCTACAGGGCAAGTTCATCTAACGTGCCAAGTCCCCCTTTAAAAGCACCTGCTTTCTGTTCCAAAAGGGAATTGGTACCCTGAAAGGCAGGAGCCTTTACTTCTTCCTCTAAGCTAGCTTTGGAATAAAAAGTCACTTCTTTTTTTTTTTTTTTTTTTTTTTTTTTTGAGACGGAGTCTTGCTCTGTCGCCCAGGCTGGAGTGCAGTGGCGCAATCTCAGCTCACTGCAAGCTCCGCCTCCCGGGTTCACGCCATTCTCCTGCCTCAGCCTCCCGAGTAGCTGGGACTACAGGCACATGCCACCACACCCAGCTAATTTTTTGTATTTTTAGTAGAGATGGGGTTTCACTGTGTTAGCCAGGATGGTCTCGATCTGACCTCGTGATCCGCCTGCCTCGGCCTCCCAAAGTACTGGGATTACAGGCATGAGCCGCCGTGCCCACCCAAATGTCTCTTTATACCAGACCTTGCTCTTGTTAACTGGACTCTGTAAGTGGCATGTGACTGAACCTGCTTTTTGATTACATAAGGGCTAAAAATAATGTGCTTTATTGTATATTTATTGCAGCACTATTTACAATAGCAAAGACTTGGAACAAACAACTCAAATGCCCATCAATGATAGACTGGATAAAGAAAATCTGGCACATATACACCATGGAATACTGTGCGGCCATAAAAAAGAATGAGTTCATGTCCTTTGCAGGGACATGGATGAAGCTAGGAACTATCATTCTCAGCAAACTAACACAGGAACAGGAAACCAAACACCGCATGTTCTCACTTATAAGTAGGAGTTGAACAATGAGAACACATGGACAAAGGGAGGGGAGCATCACACACTGGGGCCTGTCGGGGAGCAGGGGGAGGAACAACATTAGGAGAAATACCTAATATAGATGATGGGTTGATGGGTGCAGCAAACCACCGTGATGCATGTATACCTATGTAACAAACCTGCATATTCTGCACATGTATCCCAGAACTTAAAGTATAATTAAAAAAAGGGCTTTATTAAAAAGGCTTGTGATCAATTTACAACAGGCTATTAGTATTGTTATTCTCTTGTGTAATTATTGA